GCCGCAGCTCCTTCTTCTGAGTCCAGTTTAAGAACCCATTGTGGCCCTCGAGTCAAAAAGTTTGCCCACCCCTGGTGTAGAACCTGCGATGGAGGAGGGATCACTCTCAGAATTCATTCATACTACGTGGGACTTGGCAAACAGTTTTAGCAAAGACTCTATTAAAGGAAGCTCCTCCTAGGTGTGGAAAGAGTGTGCTAACATGCTCCCTCCATAAATGCTGTCTGTAAATGCCGCCAGCAGAATCTGTGGAGAGAGGTTTGCTGTAACTTTTCAATGAGCTGTGCAGGGCGTGGAACCAGTGTGAGGTCTGAGCCTCTAAGGAAAGCTCACAGGAGGCAGGCTCAGGACACTGTCCCCCTTGTGATCATGGGATGTCCTCTGCAAGGCAGGTGACATACTCTCCTGATGATGGGTGGTGGTTGCCAGGCAGCCCACAGGGGCTGGGTTCCCAGAGCAGCCTTTGGGTTCCCTCCACACCTCCCAGGGGAGGAGGGGAGAGATGGGGCACTCACTGGGAGCGGGGGGTTAGGGGGAAGAAGGAGTGTCACAGGAAGGGGCAGGAAGGGGCAGGCAGGTGGTGGGCAACAGTGCACCAGAGTGTTCTTGGAAGTGGCCCACAGCCGGTGGGACGGTGGGAGGCACGGAAAAATTCCGAGGGAAGGATGTTTGATCCAGCCACCAGGTGTGTGGGCTTATGTGCTTCTGGCGGGCTGCAGGCGGCCATCTCTGGGGCACAAAGCCTACAGCACCCAGTGTTCCCAGGTGGTCTCTTATTTAAGTGCTAGCCAAGCCCGACCCTGCTTAGCCTCCCAAATCAGCGCAGTTCTGGCGCATTCAGGGTGGTGTGGCCCACTGCCCTGGCCTCTTGCTGAGCTCGTGCTCCCCCCTCCTCCCACCCTGCCTCCTCTGGTCCCTCAGCAGCACCAAGGTTTCTTCAATTCCCCCTATTTTGGGGTATTGGGTCCCCAGAGGCACGCTGGGGGCTTCCACCTGGATGAGAGACACCTCTCTAATCGAGGGGTGCCCTCTGTAAGATGGCAACAGTTTCCTGATTGGGGGCCATTGTTGGGGAGTGGCTCACCTGTTGCAAGAGTCGTTCCTGGGGTTCACTCCACACCTCCACACAGAGGAGAGCACAGGCAGGACGCTCACCGGCATTGGTGGTAGGGGTAGGGGTGGGGGAGTATCAGAGGACAGGAAGGGGCAGCAAGGTGGCCTGCAGCAGCACCCCAGGACCCAGGACTGCCCGTCTCTGGGGCACAAAGCCTACAGCACCCGGTGTGCCCAGGTGGTCTCCATCCGACCACTAGCCAGGCTGGCCCTGCTCAGCTACAGGAATCAGACGAGAAGGGTGTGTTCAGGGCGGTGGCGAGAGCCTCACTCCCACCGGGCGGCCTCTCACGGGATCCCGCTGGTCTGCCAGGGCCCCTGTACCCCATTTCCCATGGAGTTAGTATTAACCCTGCTCCTTCCGCTGCACAGGGGACTGGGCTGGAAATCACAGGCCACCCTTGTCTTTAAGCCACTTTCCAGGGTCCTGGGGACTCTGCGGTGGGCGGGCCAGAGCGGGGCCTCCTTCAGCCTCTCCCCCAGAAGCCAGGGGGCCTGGAGGGCCCTGGCCAGGGCTGAGGTTGCTGGACCGATTTCCCCTGAAATGTTGCCTCCAGATGGGGAGGCAGCCCAGGAGCCTGCTGCTTGGTGGTCACCTGGCGCCTCGGTGCGCCCTCTGTCGGCAGAAGCCCATCGTGCGTGAGACCATCGGCTCCCTCCCACGTTCTGCCCATTGGCCCCAGCGACTCAGAGCCTTGGCCTTCGGACCTGGGGACCTGGCGCTTCCCCAAACCTGGACCCCTGGGCCCTGCATGTGCACGGTGATGGCAACACCCCTCCCGCCTTGGTAAAAGGTAAGGGACGATGGCCTGTTTATCTCTGTGGCGGAGTCCTGGGCGCCTCTACGCGGGCACCATCTGGGTGCTGTCTGGGCGACAGTCCTCATGGGCAGGACGCTGTGTTACCCTCCCCAACGGGCCCTGAGGATGCCCCACCCGCGCGCAGGCCTTTCTGAGCCGGGCAATGCGAGGCTTCCCAGCCCGCGACCTTGCTCGGTGCCATGTCTGTGGGATCCACGGTCAGTCTGCCAGCTCCAGCCCTGCCCGCTGCTCACACTCCCTCGCAGGCAGGCCGCCCACGGACGGTGAGGAGTACGGGGCCTCCTCCGGTTTGGAGCCATGGCACCTAAAGCCGCTGCAAACACCCACCTCCAGGGTCCTGTGTGAAACAGGAGTTTTCGTTTCTCTTGAGCAGCATGCAGGTGTGGACTGGCCTGAGCCTATGGGGAGCGTTTTAACGTCACAAGAAACTGCCACACTGACTTCCATAGGGGAGTGTCCCTTGTTGGCCTCTGACCCAGGCCACACTGCCCGCCCTTTGGCTGCCCTTTGGGACTCAGCTCCCTGCAGGCAGAGCCCTCTGAGGCAGGCACAGAGGGCAGGCTCTGGTCCCCCACGCACCCGGCTGTCACGGCACCCCTCAGCCCAGCTGTGTACTCAGCCTCTCGCCTGGCCCAAGGTGGGCCAGACAGGCAAATGGGGGGCGGGGGGGGGCATGTGGGGCCTGAGTCTGAGGGGCTCAGGTGGGGGGCCCAGAGCCTGCAGCCAGCAGCCTCAGAGTGTCCAAACAGCGAGGGACTTGACATCTGTCACGTGCCCCTTGCCTGCCACCGTCCTCAGTGAGGGCCCCACCACCCTCCAGTGCCTCCCATCTCCCCTCCTGTCACCAGTTCACCGTCCTCCTTCCCAGCCACCCGGCCTCTCTGCCCTCTATGCTGCCCCCCGAGGGTTCTGCCTGCAGGCGATGGACCTCAGGGTGGCCAGCTACAAGTGCAGGGTGTTGTGGCCTTGGGCAAGTCACTCCCCTCTGAACTTCAGCTGTGAAACCCACTCTTGCCTGGACAGGGCTCAACCCCCTACTTGCCTGTCAGGCCCAAGTCCCCCCTCTCCTCCTGGTCACCACCCAGGCCTCACCGTGCCCATCCTCACAGCAGCCGGAGTGACCATCAGAAGCCCACCATTTCCCCAGGTCTTTCTTGCTCCCACACACCTGGAGTCAGTCTGCCCGGGCCCAGCCCAGCCTGGACTCTCCTATGGAGACTGTCCTCAGGCCCTCCCCTCATCAGGCCTCCCTCCCGGGCCAAGAGCTGCCTGTTCTCTGAGCCCACACCCAGCTCCCTGCTCGAATGGGACAGTCTGTCCCGGGACATCCAGCCTCGGGCCAACCTGCTCCCCCAGGCAGCCTCTGTCCTCAACAGGGCGTCTGCTCTGGACTCCCCATGGGGCATGAACTCCAGGCAACTCTTCAAAGCTGCCCGGCAGGGCCCTCGGTGTCGGGACCCTCTCATTCAACATTGTGGCTGTGAGATTCTCCCAGTGTTGCCTGCATTCTTTTTCGTGGCCGAACAGTGTTCTATACAATGTTGTGTGTGTGCACGCACTTGAGGTGCATGTGTGTTTGTGTGCATGCTGTGTGTCTATTAGTATGAGGCACACAGCCCTTTCGTTGTCCTGGCCCAGCGGTCGGCAAACTGAGACCCCTTGAATGTGGCTCTTCCACAAAATACCACGTGTGGGCGTGCACGTACAGTGCAATTGAAACTTCGTGGCCACACTCAAGGGGCCAAAGAGCCACATTTGGCTCGCGAGCTGCCGTTTGCCGACCACTGTCGTGGCCCATCAGTGGGTTCACAAGAAGTTGTGGGTGTCTGTTGACACGGCCCCATCTGCGCCTCCTACACCTGCATGGGAGCCCCTTCCCACTGAGCCTGGGCAGCTCTTCTCCAGAGGCCTGAGCTGTGAGGTCACCATTGCTGTCATGATGGGGTGGATGGTGAGGACCCCCTGGTGGTACAGTACACGGTCAGGGCCCCTGCACTGCCCAGAGCCTTGCCTGGGCCCTGAGTGGGCTCACCCTGTCCCAGGCTTCCTCGGGGGTAAGCACCACCTCAGCCAGGAAGAGGAAGGGAAGGGAGGGGAGGGGAGGGGAGGGGAGGGGAGGGGAGGGGAGGGGAGGGGAGTCTCTCTAACACCTGGACCCGCAAACCTGCCCGGCACTCAGCACTCGGCCCTCGAAGAATATCACTTCTCATGACAGACTGCACATGGGGAACTGAGGCCAGGGCAGGGCTGCAGCTGACAGTCAGGAAGGATGGACTAGGTGCCCCGTCATTCACTTGCTCCTTTTTGTCCAGCCGAACTGCTTGCCAGAGCAGCCTCCAGAGACCCATCCTGGGGTAAGGGCCGAGGTACAACCCAAGGCAACACCCCAGGCTCTTTGCTGACACAGCTCTCCAGCTGTGGAGACAGTGTGAGCAAGGGTTCTCTCCCCGTGGCCTTGAAAGCTGGAGGCTGAGCCCTGGTGTAGATGAGTCTCTCCCACCACTGGGCCTCCATGTCTTCCTCCCGCTCATGGGGGCCCTGCCAGCAGCCTCGTCTGTCCTACACTCCCACTCGGCTGCAGCAGGGGCATCCAGTCCCCGTCGGTCCCAGCTTCCTCTCTTGTCACATCGGCAAAAACAAGACTGTAGTATCACTGGGGCCTCCCAGGGCTGTGGGTTCGAGTGAGCCTCTGCTCTCTGCAGGAGGTGCACATCACATCTTTGCAGAAGGAAGGAGAGGTGGCAGGCCCAGGCCCAGAGGGGACAAGGGCATGGCAAGGTTGCCCAGCGGGGGAGGGTGGCATAGTCTGGGGTGGATGGTCTGGCTCCTAGGCCCACATGGGAGAGGGTCTGGGGGAGGGGAGGGGCTGTTGGAAGGACGCACCAGGCTGCGAGGAGGCTGTCTATCCTCTGTCCCCAAGCTGCTGCCTTGTCCACTCACCTCCTCCTGGACGGCCCTGGGAGCCCCACTGCTGCAGACACAGGGCTGAAGGAGCACAGAACAGCGCACGTGGGGAGCCGAGCAGGTCCTTCAAACACACGTCTCCACAGGGTGGCACTCAAGGAGGCCAAAACGCATTTAATGAGGGCTAGTCCCCAGGCCCATGTCTTCAGACACCGCTCGGTATTGAAAATCACGGAAATTTGCCACTTAAAATATATTTGACATTTTGTTATCTTACAAAGAGCAGACACCCCTACACAGGGGGCTCCTTCCTACCAGGCCCCAACCCTCCGGGACCCCGTGCAGGCAGGAACTGGGTGGCACGGCACCGTGGGGCAGAGAACTGCATGCAAGGCACACGCATGGACGCATCATTCCTGACACATGCACACACATACATACCACTCCAGCAGGCAGGCCCCAGCCCTGCTCAGAGCCTGGCACAGCTGCCACACAAACGTACCACATGCATGTACATGTTCAGAGGGACAAATACACACGTGGCCTCCCACACACAATCACTCACTGCTGGAGGTCAAGGACTCACATACGTGTGTAGACATCATTTCACACCCAGGCACCCGGAAGCCTCACCCACACACACTCCACGTGGACACGCTCTGAGCTGAGGGTCCACGGGACTCCTGAGCCAGCTTGCTGACGTTGCTGGCTGGGGTCCATCTTGAGCACTGTGCCCATCCATACAGCCTGGTGAACATTCAAGCCAACGCCCTCATATAAAACACACAAATACTCCCCTACAGGTAAGCACACACACAACTATGCGCGTGTGTGTATATGCCTGCACACATACATACCATGTATCTATGTTATCATCCCAGATCCACACACAGATTGTCCTATGCACACATCTGTACAACAGCGCCGTGTATAATGCACCCACACGTTCATGCACTTACCGGCAAAGCAATCGCTGCGTGTCCTATTTGAACACAGATGAGACATCCCACATGAACTCACACACTTGACGCCCACTCTCTCAGCCACACACACTCCTGCCGGCGTGGCCTTCCCACGGGAGGCCCGAGGCCAAGTCTTCAGCCATCCCCAACTCTGGGCCTCCTGGTCCAGGCTACTGAGAAAATTCTTGGAAATCCCACTGCCTGGGAGGGCGAGGGTAGGAGCAGTTTGGAACACACACCTGCTCAGCACAGACCACACACCAAGTACACACACATGCATGCACGCACACACACTTGCCACACGCCACATGCACTCACATGTGCACAAACACCCCCACTCACCTGTGTGCGGAACGTTCAGTGGGTTAACATGCTCTCCACACACCAAGAGTGAGCACCCCCCCTCGCACTCTCCCAGGAGCCATGTGAACCGTGCTCTGCACATACCATAGCCCCACCCAGCCACCCTCCATCCTCAAGTGCATTAAAGAGGGAGACTATTTTGGTCTTCAGCACAAGCAATAAATAAATAAATACAGGGCAGGGAGGAGAGGGCAGACGAGTAAAAACACAGCCTCTGCCTTTGGCAAGAGACGACAGGCTGCGAGGGGCTGCTCCCTGCAGGGTCTTGAGCTAAGCTGCCTGCCATGGGCCCCTGAGGGCACAGCTGAGCAGAGTGCACCTGGTCACCCCAAACCACCAGGACCTGGATTCCAGGGCCTCTGGGCTTGGCGCTGGATGGAGTGAATGGAAGGCTGGCCTACCCAGGCCCCAGCTTCTCCCTGTCTCCAGAGTCCCACTCCCTACTTGCATGACCTTGCACACTGCCTCAGTTTCCCACTTGGGCCCGAGTCCCTGGTGCCTTCAGGCTGAGCTGTCGTGGGGGCACAGGTTGGAGCAGCCAGGGCAGGCAAGCCCAAAAGCCACTGGCTCTCTAATACTGACTTCCTCATGGGCCTGGTCACTTGGAGGGCAGCGCACTGAGCTATCCTGGGAAGGCACCTGGCTGCCCCGGGGTCCAGGCTGCTCTGGCCTCCCCACCACCCCCCTAGCCCAGCTGGCTTCTCCGCCAAGAAGCAGCCTGCACTGGGCAGCTGCTGGTCTTGGTGCTGCTTCTGGGCCAGCAGAGCCCACAGCCCAAACACCTTCCGGGATGTGTGTGCCGCTCCTGACTCTCAGCGAGAGGTCGAATCTCTCTGAACACTGGTCCTCTCTGTTCAGGCAGGGCGCAGCCTGGCTGCCACTCATGGGCTCCACCCTGCTGCCCAGAGTCAGGGGGAGCACCATCAGCCTGGCCTCTGCAGACAGAGGGGCTGTGGGGACTGCATGGTGGCGTCGGGGAGGGGTACAGGGGAGTCCTAGACCATGAGGAACTGAGCCAGACCCACAGAATCTATAAGGCACCACTCCTCTGGGCCTCACAGGGTGGGGCTGCCAGGTGCCCTCCCCAGGAGCACCCACTCCTGCATGTTTGCAGCGGCCCCCCTCTGTGGAGGGTGGGAGCCATGGGCAGCAAAGGAGAGAGCAGCAAACAAGGGGACCCCGGGGCGCTGGGGGAGGGGACCTTCCGTGGCAGGCGGGGCTCACATCCGACCCTGAGGGGCGCCTCTAAGTGCAAAGTCAAACTCCAGAAACCAGTTGTTCTGTCCCAGCGCCGCCTCCATGACCCAGGGGCCTTGTGAGCATTAACACGGCCCTGGTTTTTCCACCACAAAAGGGACCTAACCCAGCCGTGCGCACAGGGGCCACAGCGAGGGCTGCACTGGCCGGAAGCGGCCCTGGCCCTCCAGCCCCGGGGAGCCTTGAGGAGCCTCCGCCCACTGCCTGCATCCTGGCAAACAGTGGAATTCTATGTGTCCTTTTTTGTAGCCCGTGAATTAAAAAAAGGTTTAATCCCATGTTAATTCTTTTGTAAAGAGTCTTCCTCAAACTGAGACTGAGAAAGTGGAGACCCCTGATTTCTCCCCGAGCTAAAACAAGTGGGTGCCTGCAGCCAGCGGCCTGCACCGAGCGGGGCGGCTGTGGAGCCGGTGGGGGCGGTCTGCAGCCCTTCCCTCAGGCAGACGCACCAGCCCCTGCAGCGCGGCCCCGAGCCTGCGTGGGCCTCTGAGGCCAGGGACATCCGCTCCTGCCACCCACGCTCCTGCCTGCCTCCCAAGACCACTGCGAAGCCTGAAGCGTCTAACATGCGGCCGCGTTGGCCACCTTTCAGAGGCTGCCCGTGGCCACGGCCACTCATATCTCCGACTCCCGCCGGTAGGGCCGCGGCTCCAGGGCACTGCTGCTGGCCGGGGGCCTGGCGAGGCCGAGCCTGGCCTGAGGGCCGCCAGCCGGGTCGTCCTCGGCCGCGTCCTCCTCGTCAGGGCTCAGGAAGGCCAGCTCGTTCTCGTAGCAGAAGGAGCTGGTGCCGGGCAGCAGGAACTTGTTCTCCGCCAGGTCCCTGGCGCTGCAGCAGGGCGTGGCGGGCACCTCGTAGGTCTTGTGGAAGCGCGAGTAGTCGATCTTGTACTGGTTCTTCTCCTCAAAGAGGACGGGCTCGAAGCGGTGGCCCCAGAGGATCTCGCTGGCCAGGTAGGAGCTGCGGGCCTGCGTGGTCATGGCCGTGGCCTCCACCATGCCCTCCAGGATCACCACGATCTCGAAGTCGTCCGCCTCCAGGTCCTGCCGGCTGATGCCGAACAACGGGCTGGCCTCGTCGATCTCGTGCAGGATGGTGATGGGCGACACCAGGAAGATGCGGTCTAGGCCCTTGTCGAAGCCCACGTCCATGTCCAGCTGGTCCAGCGGGATGTACTCGCCCTCCTGCGTGACCCGGGGCTTGATGAGCTGGGCCCGCACGTGGGCCTCCACGATGTGGCTCTTGCGCAGGTTGCCCACGCGCCACATGAGGCAGAGCCGGCCGTCCCGCAGCGCCACCACCGCGTGGTGGCTGAACAGCAGCGTCTGCGCCCGCTTCTTGGGCCGGGCCATCTTGGCCATGATGGCGCCGATCATGAAGGAGTCGATGATGCAGCCCACGATGGACTGTGCCACCACCATGAAGACGGCCACGGGGCACTCCTCCGTCACACAGCGCAGCCCGTAGCCGATGGTAGTCTGTGTCTCGATGGAGAAGAGGAAGGCGGCCATGAAGCCGTGGACTTGCAGCACGCAGGGCGGGCGGCCGCGGGCCTCCGCCGGCTCCAGGTCGCCGTGCGCCACGGCGATGACCCAGAAGATGACGCCAAAGAGCAGCCAGGAGGCGAGGAAGGCCAGCGAGAAGAGCAGCAGCATGTAGCGCCAGCGGATGTCCACGCAGGTGGTGAACATGTCAGCCAGGTAGCGCTGTGACTTCTCGTCCATGTTGGCAAACTCGATGTTGCACTGGCCATTCTTCTTGACAAAGCGGTTCCGGCACCTGCGCCGCGTGTGCACCTTGCCGTTGCCGAAGCCATTGGTGCCCGACATTGTGACCAGGTGCAGCCCGTCCTCCAACAATGACACGATGCTGTAGGGGGTGGCCCGGCCAGCTGCGGTCATCCCGGGCGGGGGGAGGTCCTGGCTCCTCGGCCCCACGCCGGCTCCCAGAGGGGCGGCTCCTGCAACAGAGAGGACAGAGGACGTTCCACATGGGCCCAGGAACCTACCACCTCCCCCGCCCCATCTCGGTCCCCAGGTGTTGCTGGACCCCGCCTGAGCTGGCACATGCAAGGCACTCACAGTGCTCACTGCCTGCGCGAGTCACTCCTCACACACAGGGAGGGCAGGCCACACGCTCAGCAGATGCTCCCAGTCATCCAGTCAACAGCCCCAGGAGCAGCTGCTCCCTCTGATGGAGATTCAGAGGCCGCCTGGCCTCCCCTAAGCCACGCAGCCAATAAGCAGGAGAGCTGAGGTTCAAAACACTCTTGTCTAACTCAGGGCCTCCCGTCATGGGCCCAGGTTCTGCTGGGGCCTCATCTCCTCTCCCCCACCCCCCACCCAGGTGCTCCACCCGCCACCTCGCATGGGTCTGAGGAGCTGCTTCTGTCTGGGCCAGGAGGCAGGAAGCCGGGGGTGGGGACGTCAGGGGGAGTGCCAGGGTCAGGGTACACAGATTCCAGCAGGAGGCTACCAGATCGCTGGTGGGGTGTTTTTGTGGCCCGGAGACTTTGAAGGACGTGCAGCGGGTCATGGCGACTCCACCTGGGGCTCTGAGGTGGGACGGAATCACAAGAACAAAGGCCAGAGAGCCCGGCCTGGCGCTGCTCCTGGCTACTGAGCAGCCTCACACCTGGCCTGCGCCCAAGCAGGTGGGCACCTGGGACCCACCTCAGCCATGCCACATAGGCCTGGTAACCCTCACCTGCTGACGCTCCTCCTAAAACCATACAGAGAAAACCTGTTCACACCCACCCCCCTTTCAGAGCTGTCCAAAGTCACCCTGACACTAAGGAACAGAGACAGCGTGGAATCCCGGAGTCCAGTCCGGTCCTCAGCCTCCCTGCCCTCTTGGTGCCGTGTGTGTGTGCACAGGAGCACACGTGTGTGAGATGCTCAGGGGGGAGCCCCTCACAGGCTCTCAGTAAACAAGCACACAAAGCCCCAGAAGAGGACCTAGGAAGAGAACCCAGCACCACACACTTGCCCAACGGCCCAAGGGCACTCCTCATACACAAACACTGGCTTGGCAAGAAGGCTGGGCCATGCTGTGGTCGTTAGGGACTCCATTCAAGACATGTGGGATTGCCCTGACTGGTTTGGCTCAGTAGATAGAGCGTCAGCCTGCGGACTCAAGGGTCCCAGGTTCGATTCCAGTCAAGGGCATGTACCCTGAATGCGGGCACATCCCCAGTAGGGGGTGCGCAGGAGGCAGCTGATCGATGTCTCTCTCTCATCGATGTTTCTAACTTTCTATCCCTCTCCCTTCCTCTCTGTAAAAAATCAATAAAATATATTTAAAAAAAAAAAAAAAACATGTGGGATGATCCCCTGGCCAGCTGAGCAGTGGTTAGAGCATCAGCCCTCGGCTGAAGGGTCTCAGGTTCGATTCCAGTCAAGGGCACGTACTGCAGTTGCAGGCTCCTCCCTGGCCCCCACTGGGCTGTGTGTGGGAGGCAACCAATCCATGTGTCTCTCTCACATCGATGTTTCTCTCTGTCTCTCCCCCTCCCTGCCACTCTCTAGAAAAAATCAATGGAAAAATTATCCTGGGTGAGGATTAACCAAAACAAAACGAAATGTAGGGGGCGGTCCTCGCCCGGGCATGCAGGCCTGTGCGGCACTCGCTCAGGGGGCACCTAGTTAAACCAGATAAGAATGGAGTTATATGTGTTTTGTTGGAAAAGGCCTTAGCAAACAAGGAAGCCAGCTTCCCATTTTACAGATGGGGAAACTGAGGCTGAGACTCATCCCAAGTCACAAAGCAACTTACAGACTGAGATGAGATGGTAAAGAGAACAGGACCAGAGCCATTGTCGGCAGATGCCCAGGTTGGTCAATGAGGGTCAGGGCACTGCTGGGAGAAAATGGGGGCGAGACACTGGGGTGTGATACCTGGGCCAGAAAAGGTGGGGTGACTTCCACACCAGAGACAGCAGTGAAGCGAGCTTAGCCGGCAGAGAGTGGGCAGTGCAGGACACGAACCCAGAGCCCTGAGGAGGTGAGGCCCCAGCAGGGTCAGCATCAGAACACAGCCTCTGAGCACCCAGCACACTCAACCTACTGCTCTGGCCTGAGCTGGGGTTTTAGAGAGGCAGCTACCACAACCCATGGGAGGGGCCCGAGAGTCACTGGGAGGGGCCTCTGGACAGAGCAGATCAGGCCACGCCTCATCCCCTGAGGCTCCAGACACCTCCCTCAGGTTAGATGGCAGCCAGGAGGAGACCAGGACAAGGCCTGGGCCCACACTCTCAGATGCCAAGAAAGCAGTGACTGTAAGGACCAATGGAGGAGGCCCTCAGGGGGCAGGCTCAAGGTCCCCACCCTCAGGGCCCCTTCAGAGGTGCAGGCAGAGTCATCAATGCTTACCCAGTGTTTACTACCCACCAGGCACTGCTCTGAGAGGGCTAATCCCTACAGCAACATTATGACTATCACCCCATTTCCCAGGTGAGGATACCGAAACTCAGAAAGATGAATCCACTTGCCCAGGGTTACAGCCTTCGCACAGAGTGCTCCCTTGAAATCCCATGTGGATGAGACACACAGACAGCCCAAAGCTCAGCACTGACCAGCAGGGAGGCCCACACCAGCCCGCCCCCCACCCCCAGCCATGCAGCCCTGAGAGTGTCCGGGGATGGGGCACTCACAGCCTCAAGTCCTACAACTGGAGGAACCCTTAGAGGCCACTGAGTTCAGGGAAAGCCAGAGTGTGGCTCACACACCACCTCTCCAGCCTGTACATCACCAATCCGTCGCGGACCTGACTCTCAGTGTCCTGGAGCAACTTCAGACTCTGCTGGTCCATTCACTGGGTATCAGAGTTGGCCCAAGAGCTTAAAAAATCCAACCTTCCATTTGAAGACAGAGAGACTGAGGCTCTGAGAGAGGCTCCCTTTCCCAGTCACACAGGAAGTGAGGCCAGCGGATGCGCCACAGGCACTGGGAGCTGGGGGTGCAGAGGCAGGGAGGGCATTCCAGGTGGGAGAAGGGGCAGGCAGGGACATGCTGGCCACTCAGGGGGCCGTGAGGAGGCTGGGGATGGCCAGGAGTGGGCCTGGAGGGGACAGAGGCTGGAGGGGGCATTCCCATCCTCACATCTGGGAGACGATGAGCCCTTGCACAGAAGCACCTCTGCAGCCACATGCCCGCCCGCCGTGCGCCCCCACGTCCTGCAGATGTGCAGGTGAGCATAGTGCAGGCTTCCTGGGCCGAGGCCTGGTGCCCAAGGAGAGAAGGAGCAACGTGGAGCTGCATACGCGGAGGCTGGGGGACCAGGCTCCACCCACTTCCTGGGCCTCACCATTCCAGGGCCACTGCCCAACAGCCAACCTCCACCAGTCTTTCTGCCCAGCAGCTCTCAGCAGGTGGGAAGGAATGCCCCAGAACAGCCTTCCATCAACTGGCAGGCAGCTCCCTGCCTCCACGCACACTCTGGCTCCTCAGCCAGGCTGAGCTCCCACTGCACCAGCCATGACTTTGTCAAAAATACATCCCAAATGACTCCTGCCCTTCCCGGTCTCACTTCCTTACTCCCCTCTGGTGCTTCTTAGGGTCCCCAGCCACTAAACCACCTGCACGGACCTGGTCCCTGGGCTCTCCCTCGCAGGCTTCAGGCAGTGTCCCCTCCAGGAGGTCCCACACCACCAATGGCCCACGCAGCTCCTCTCCTCTTCCAAACCTCCGCCGCTCCTTCCTCTCCCACTTCTCTTCCCCTCCTCACCTCTTCTTCACTCCCCTCCTCTCTTCACCCTCTCCTTTCCCCTCCTCCTCCCACTCCACATGGGGGTCCGTTGGCACCCTGACCCCTTCTCCAATTGCCCAGCCAGAAGCCTGCCTCCTCCCTCTCCTTCAGTCCCCAGATCTACTCCCTCGCCCAGTCGGTCCTCTGTATTTTACCTCCTGAATTCCCAAAGGCACCCACCATTTCCTGGCCCACGGCCACCCTCCTGCCCAAGCCACTCCTGCCAGGACACAGCAACAGGCTCCTGATGGATTTCCTTGTAGCCACCCTCTGCCCCATGTCATCAAACCCCCAAACCACAGCTAAAGGGGATGTTTAAAATCTTCCCATCCACCAGTGCTTGGCTGAAAGCTACTAGTTCCATGAAGCCCTCTGAGTGCTCTGGCCCTGGCTCTCCTGTTAGGGTCCGAAGGTCCCATCTCTGGCCAATCTCAGAGGCCCAGAGGGGCTGATGCAGGCCCGGCACAGAGAGAGAATCCAAGAAATTCTCACTGACTAGACCAGTGGTCGGCAAACCATGGCTCGCAAGCCACATGCGGCTCTTTGGCCCCTTGAGTGTGGCTCTTCCACAAAATACCGACTTGTGCGCACGGGCCATGAAGTTTCAATCGCACTGTACATGCGCGCTCGCATGTGGTATTTTGTGGAAGAGCCACACTCAAGGGGCCAAAGAGCCGCATGTGGCTCGCAAGCCACGGTTTGCTGACCACGGGACTAGACAAAGGAATGAGGGGGTAAGCATCTGAATAGAGAAACAGATGAGGAGATGGATGGATCAATGAATGAGGAGACAGGTGGCCGGGCATATGGATGGATAAACAGGACTGACAGATGAGTGGATGGGCGGGTGAGTGGTAACCAGAGACATGGAGGAGTTAGGTGGATGGAAAATTATTGAATGGGTTGGGTGGATAGATTAGTGAGTGGAGAAATAGGTGGAAGAGTCAATGGATGAAAGGATACATGGGTGGTTGGGCGAGTTGAGGAGTGGCTGGGGGATGGTGGGGAATGAATAGTTGGGAGATGGGTGAACACATGGATAAAAAGATGGCCGGATGGGCTGGGTGGATAGGTGGGTAGATGGCAGATGGAGGGAGGACATGTGGAACTAGTGGATGGATGATGGAGGAATGAGAGGCTAAGTAGGCACGTAGAAGGATGAATAGGGAGATGGATGTATGGATGGGCTGGGGGGGTGGGTAGATGGCAGATGGAGAGAGGACATGTGGAACTAGTAGATGGGTACTGGAGGAATGAGAGGCTGAGCAGGTACGTGGAGGGAAGAGGAGGGAGATGGATGGATAGATGGGTGGGTGCACAGATGAGTGTTGGGCTGGGAGGACTAGGTGGACAGGTGCACATCAGTGACCTTAATCTTACCTCTTGGTTCTATCTTCTAAGTAACAGTGCTGAGTGGGCACGTGCTATCTCCAAGGCCGCATTAGCAGCAGCTGCCATTTCCCCAGCATCAGCTAGAGATGAGTCAGTGGCTAGAAGACCCTAAAGGTAACAAAGCAAAGCCAAGTTACTATAGATGGTGCTACTCTTCCCAGAGAGGCTCCAAAGTCAGGAATTTCCACATGCACCCACATTCCTGCTTGCTTCCCCCAGGACCCCTGGGAGGAGGAGGGGCCTCCCATACCTCTGGTGCCCCACACCTTCCCAGAAGGTCAGCCTGTCCATGACAAACTGTCAGAACCAGAGAAGGCAGAACAGAACAGGTCCCACCACAATGACAGCCGATAACTGTTGAGCGTCTATGGCATCCAACACTGTGGTAGGTGATTTGCAGACATCAATTCATGTCATCCTCACAACAACCCCCCAAGGTAGACACTATTGCTGTCCCTATACTTGAGAAGAAGTTAATGTGGGAACACTCCTAAAGTCACAGAGGAGCTCGGGTCCCTAGCCTGCGCCCCAGCCACCACCTGAAGGGTCTTCCCAAAGTTAGTCACAGGGCTGACCTACCAATAGATGGCTGGATATATTATGTATGTATGTATGTATGTATGGATGGATGGATGTATTGATGGATGGATGAATAGACAGATGGCTGAATGGCTGGATGGATGTTGAATGGGTAGATGGATGGGTGATGAGTGGATGGATGCATTATGAATGGATGGATGATGGATCACTACATGTGTAAATGGATAAATGAGAGGGTGAGTGGATGAACAGTTGGATGAATGGATGGATGGATTAGATGGATGGATGATGGGTGAACGAGGGAGTGGATTATAAATGGGTAGGTGGGTGTATAAATGGATGGATGGGTGATTATAGATCACCCGTGGGCAAACTACGGCCCTCGGGCCAGATCCGGCCTGTTTGAAATGAATAAAACTAAAAAAAAAAAAAAAGACCGTACCCTTTTATGTAATGATGTTTACTTTGAATTTATATTAGTTCACACAAACACTCCATCCATGCTTTTGTTCCGGCCCTCCGGTCCAGTTTAAGAACCCATTGTGGCCCTCAAGTCAAAAAGTTTGCCCACCCCTGTTATAGATGGATGAATTATGGATGGCTAGGTGGGTATGTGGATAGGTAAGTGAATGGAAGGATGGATGGATGGATGGATGGATGGATGGATGATGGATGAAGAGGGATGGATAATGGATGGATGAATTATAAATGGATGGGTAGATAATGGATGGATGGATTATGGGTGGGCATGTGGGTGTGTGGATGGATAAGTGAGTGGATGGGTAGATGGATGAATGGGTACATGGATGGATAAATTATGGATGGGTATGTGAGTGTGTGAATGGATAAATAAGTGGGTGGGTGGATAGATAGGTAAGTTGATAATGGTGAATGAGTAGGCAAATATGAATAGGTGAGTAGGTAAATATATTTTTAGGTGAATGAATGGATGGATGAATGAGGTGGTTGGGATAGATAAATAACCTTACCCCCCCCCCAAGTGGGCCCACACTGTGCCCCACCCTGGGAGCTCAGCTCCTGGCTTTAGTTATTCCAACCTTCTCTGCCCCGCCCTGCAGGAGAGGTGAGTCTCCCTACTGAGCAGAGGGAGACACTGAGGCTGAGAGGGTGCCACTTGCCCCAGGTCACCTGGAGCGGGGACTCTGAGCAGAGGAAGTGTCCCTCACAGGGTAATGGGAGAGAAAGAGGGGGGCCCAGGGGCCAGAGAGTCCTTGCTCCAAATTCAAGACCTGTCCCCTCCCCCTCCCCACCACCCACCCACCCCCAACCCGCCAGCGGCTAGCTGTGGGCCTCTCCCTGTGTCTCAGCCTCCTTGTCTGCAGAACGGAGAGACGCCACCCACCTCGGGAGGCTGTCAAGGAGGTAAACCGAGGCCCTGCCCCAGTGGGTGCCACACAGCAGACCCAGAGTGAGTGCCTGAACTTTGTGCAGGATTGTCTGTCCAGGTCAGGGAGAAGGGACAAGGGTGGAGGTATGGACAGCCTGCCTCTCCCCACTTCAGACTGGTTACCTGCCTCTCAAACCCATTCCTGACTCCATTTCCTCAAGTTTCCAGACACACAAACCCCGCCCGTCAGGCCTGTCCTTACCGTGAACCTGAGGCGCAGGGAAGTGACTTGCCAAGACCACAAAGCAGATGAACGAGTGGAGGCGTGGAGACAGAACACAGGCCTCTGGACACCCTGCCTGGTGCCTTCCCTGCCCACTGCGCGTGCACTCAGCTCCTGGCACCCCTGGGTCATGGCCGCCGTCCTGCACGGGGTGGTCTGGGTGTGGGACCAGGCTTGCGACAATAGAAGGGCAGCCTGAGCCACAACGGACCAGACTGGCTCTTGGCGTCTCAGCAGTGAGGGCAGGGCCTGGGTGGGCCCTGGAGCCCCTGTGCCTCCCTGCCAGCACCAACCTGTCAGCAAGGCTGGGACGACACCCCAGGGGGCAGGGCAAGGCACTTCCCCTTCCGGAGGCCCAGCTTCCTCCACCACAAAATGGGCTGATGACTGGCCTCCCAGGGGACGCCTGTGCCATTCACTGCGATGGGGGAGGGCGGGTGCTCTGGGCAGAGGGCCTGGCACAGCATAGCTTCGAGGACAGGCAGCTGTCATCATAGCATCACGACACCAACCTTTCTTGGAGGGAGGGGCCCAAGGGGCCAGAGGGTCCTTGTCCCAAATCCAAGACCTGTCACCCTTCTCTCAGCCCCCCCCCCACCCCCCGCCCGGGCTCCTGTAGGCCTTTCCCTGTGCCCCAGCCTCATCTACAAAATGTAGAGACCCCACCCACCTCAGGAGACTGTCAAGGAGGCAAACCGAGGCCCAGTCCTAGGGGGTGCCACGCAGCAGACCCAGAGTGAGTGCCAGGGCCTCCCTGTGCCCCGAGAGGGGTTTCCGCTCTAACACTGGCAGAGGCAGCTCCGAGCAGAAATAGGATTCCCAACGGAATTGAAACGGCACATGACTGGCTCCCACCAGCCCCAGTGATGCTCTCCAAACGCCACGGCAGCAGCTACGCCAGAGCCGTAATTCCATCTGCTCAGCGGCCGCCTGGCCAGTTGCTCCTGTGCCTGTGCCTGGGCTGGTGCGGGCCACGCAACCACAGTGCCCACGACCCCCGGGCCCTGCACCGTCTGGGGTCTGGGGACCGAGGTTGGACATATGAACCCAGTGACAGGCTGTGCCACGTGCCCAGGAGGGTGGACATCTACCCTGAGTCCTGCGGGGAAAGCCAGGTCTGGCCCCAGGGCAGGCGGCAGGTCGGGCCAGGCACCAGGGAATGTTTCCGGGAGTATTTTTATCCTGAGAACATCCTACTCTGAGGGCGGGGCAGGGGGAGACAGGGTGTCCCTGGCCCCAGGCCTCTGGGAGCAGCAGAGGACAGAGCTGCTGGGTGCTCTCCACTGAGTGGCTGTGACAGTGTCTCCCCGCCTCTGGGCCGTCCTGTTCCTATTTGCTAACGAGGGGATGGCCCTTCCAAGTCCAACATTTCAGGACTTAAAGGGACTAGGGGACGAGAGGGGCTAGAGACACAGAGGGGGCACCCTTGCCATCCTGATAACAGAAGGAGGAGGTGTACTGAGTGCATGCACTGGCCCTGGGGCCGAGGCTTACAGACAGGGAAAGGAACTGAGGCTCCAAGAGGCCCTGGATGCGTGTTCATGAGCTTGAACTTAATCCCAGGGAAAGTCTGAAAGTGTGAGCTCTGGGGCAATATGGCTGGGGGTCCCCTCTTGTCTCTGTCTCTTCCTTGTGTGACCTTGGGGAGGTCACACAGCCTCTCCGAGTGCCAGTTTTCTTACCTGTAAAATGGGATCAATCATGGTACATATCTCAGAGGTGACGATGGAGTTGCAGCAATTAATACAGGAAGCTGACCAGCTGGGAACCTCCTGGCCCCCACCCCCTCGCATCATCTCATCTCTAAGCCTGGCTCATGCCCTGGAGGCCTCAGCTGACCCTCCCTCCAGGCAGGAAGGGATGAGCAGATGGACAGAGACTTCAGGGGAGGAACCCAGTGAGCAAAGGCAGCGAGGCTCCTATTTCCCTTACGGTAGCAATTTTTCAAGCTTCAACCTAATATGAGTCTCAGACATTTCCTAAGCACCCAGCATGTGCTTGGGAGAGCAAAAACATGAGATTAAGTAACTAGAAACGTCCTGAACCAGAGACCATGAGTAAATAGGCTAGAAAAGTTGCCAGCATAAAAATACGTATGATGTTGAAGCATCCGTCTTACATAAAAACTGCTGTTTGAAATTTTAACCCTGATATTTTGACTTCTGTTAATGCTTGCTGGCTTACAGAAAATAAGACTACTCCCATTCCAGAGAGGCCGTAAACTCTGCCCCAGACAGAGTTGCCAGTGCTGGCACCAGGCCAGCCCTTGAGATATGGTCTTACGGCCCCTTCCCAGCTCACAGGCCTTCTTTCTCAGAAGGCCTGGAAGTCTCATTCCAAATTTGGGAGACAAAGGGCTGGAAAAAGTATAAATACAGAGAGTTTCCTCCATGTTGGGGGGCCCAGAATTTGAAAGACACGTTTTTTTCTGGGCCTGCACAGAATCATAATTAAAATGTAACTCCCGTTCTCTAAGCATGGCTTGGTTTTTCTCCGGTCTTCTGTAACAATGATCATTATCAAAGCCCACCATAAACAAAATAAAAGGTATCAATGTTTTGTTTGTTTGATGTGTTATAAAAAAAAAGATTGATGAACTTAATAGACAAAGGGCTCTTATAAATCAATGAGAGAAAAGGACACACAGAAATGAACAGAGGGCTAGGGTAGGGCCCCCACTGAGGGTCATGTTCCTCAGGCAGCGACGTCTCAGGAACAGCCACACTTTAGAGCAGGGGTCCTCAAACTACGGCCCGCGGGCCACATGCAAATACAAAGATTGCATTTGTTCCCGTTTTGCTTTTTTTACTTCAAAATAAGATATGTGCAGTGTGCATAGGAATTTGTTCATAGTTTTTTTAAAACTATAGTCCGGCCCTCCAACGGTCTGAGGGACAGTGAACTGGCCCTGTTTAAAAAGTTTGAGGACCCCTGCTT